AAATTACAAACAAAACTTGTTACAGTAAAAGGCATATTGTCAAGAGTGACAGGTGTGTTCAAGCGAGGGGAGTATTTTGAGGGGCATCAATGGCAATGTCATTTATTATAATAAATTATTTTATTTAAACATTCACTATTTGTTTTGATCATCCCTCACTGGCTAAATATTTATAGCAAATTCTGTCCACACTCACACACATTACAGTGCATCCTCATCCAGCTTCTTCACTGGATCTGGTACCTTGCAACTTCTGGCTCTACCCTACAGCCAAAATGCCCATGAAAGGAAAACGTTTTGAATGGATTCAGAACATCAAAGCTGCCGTAACAGTACTCATGAAAGAAGACTTCCAGAACTGTTTCAGAAAGTGGCAAGAAGGATGGGATCATGGTGTTTGAACTGAGGGGTCATATTTTGCAGAGTATTAATGGTGATGTCTTTTACTGTAATTTTTAAAAATCTGTGCATTCACTGTTTTTGATCATGCCTCGAATAGCAAACATTTGCATTGTCACAGAAAGTTCCATTAGACAGCACTGTTCTTGGAGGGGCACATTTGGATATTTAGCAGTGACTGACTCCTGCTTTTCAAGCATAAGGCCCAGAGGACACAGTATTGGGAGAGGGCTCAGGAAGGTACCAAGCTCTTCTGTGAAAGTAATGTGCATGTGTCTGGGCTGAGTCCCATCAGGAAGTCTGCATGTGCTGGCTGCCATCAAGTTCAGAATCTACAGGCTCAGTCAAGCACAACCTGGTCTTTATGTACAGAATTCACCCCTTACAGGCTTAATAAATAATCCCTGTCAATAAAGGAGAAAAGATTCACTCAATAAAAAGTATATACACAACAGTAGCTTCCAGATCTTTCATTCATTCCAGATTCACATCTGCTGCCAAGACGGGGGTTTGGTGGAAGTGGTCTGTGGTTCTACTGATGCATCCTGATGAAAGAATCCTTTTCTTTTTAAGGTAACTTTAGAAAAGAATAGGACTTCAGGGAGCAGAGTGGCCTGGACCATCCCAGAATGGACTTGCGACACAGGGGAAATCTGTCTTAGTTCAGACATAGCATCACTAGAGTACAACAATCATGATTTGCTGTTCAAAGTTCGGCTATGAAGTACAGAAAGAAATGTAGCAGCTAGAGATAGAATAAAGGATTTTCCCAGATAGCTTCAATGATGGTCGCCTGCTTTTGTTGTTTTAATCTTTTTTTTTTTTTTTTTGGTGCTAGAGAATACACCCAGGCCTTATTTGTATTTTCAGGTAGAACTGACAAGAACCAGCAGAAGGAGGAAGTTAAAAGGCAACAGAAAAGTTGAGGAACAAAGTTCCCAAGAGGCAAAATCCAGAGGTCAGGCAGAGTACAAGACAGAACTGGTGCAGGCACATTGTAAACGGATGGCAGGGCTACTGAGGGTGCATCTGTTTTCTAACTTTTCTTAACTCTGTAAAAGAGGTGAAGACATCTGCTAAGCGAGACTAGGGGAGGGGACGTGCAGGGCCAGTGCTGATGGTCAAGCTTCAGTGTGAGCAGAAGGGAGCCAGGAAGCACACACAGCAGGGATGAGTGAGGGAGGGATGGCGAC